TTATCCACAGTGAATCAGAATCATAATAATAATAATAGCCCGAAGCAAGTATGTCCATGTATGTCTCAAACCATGCGTCCTTGAGGCATAAGCCGCAAGAGGCTCCACCGCCGCACCGTTAGAACCTTCAGCTCTTGAATACTCTCATCCGTTCGCTGAATTGCAATATCACTCGCTTTAGTGCTCTACATTCTGTAGGAAAAATTGTGAAATTGTGGAATTTGTGGATTCAACAATAAACAGGGTGTCACAGGGCAGTGGGAAGTGATAGGCCCCTGGGTTGTCTTCAATGTAGTAAATGTATTTTATTATTATTTATTTTTTTACAATGATCACAGCTCACAGGCAAAGACGAAAAATTGCATAGTGGGAGCATAGTGATGGTGAGGCTTTTTGCCCTCAGCCGACCTGAGGTCTCGACGTCATGGGGACATAAAACGCACCAAAAAAAGAAGAAAAATGAAAGGAGTGACAGGTACATGATACGAAATGTTATCTGCGCAATCTGCACCGTGCCAGTCCAAAAGAACGTTCGGTTCTAAAATGTCTTAGTGTTCTTTCGGACTGGTGTGGATTGCGCAGATGCATGTACTACATTTAAAGGGGAAGTCCGGTGAAAAATTTAAATTTCAGGGTCGGTAGATTTTCGGCCGCTGGGTCGAATGGTGTTGGTCCCACGTGTCTCCGACAAAGCGTTCTCAAGATATTCCAGTTTGAAAAACTGAGTTTCGGGGGGGGGGGGCTGCGCCATGAAGTCATGCGGCCGCGCCACACCCTCCGCAACGTCATAACGTGCAGCTAGGTCAAATGGAGTGCGTGAAAGCAATAGTGTCAGTGCTATTTCAAATGATTTGGCGACCGATAGTAGGTGGTGCAAGCGACCCCGAAGACGTAACTCCTTGTGAGAGTGACGATGCAGCCATGGCTGACCTTCAGGAGTTCGGTCTGGGGCTGAGAACCTCGGTATTCAGCTGATGAAGAAGTGGCCGCGCGGTCCGGTCAAGAGTGAGCGCTACTGAGTTTTCGACTGATGAAGAAGCAGCAGCTATTGCAGATGAGGCTGGTATAATTATCAGATCGCTGGAGAGCAGAGTCGCCAAAATGGAGAAGAGTGATGCGAGTGCTCTAAATGTTGTTCCATACCGATTCGCTTGGACTCCAGTAGCCTGGCACATGTTGATGTTTTAGTGCGAACTTGACATATTTCGGACTACTCAATTGGAGAACAGTGCAGGCTCTTTGAACCACGGGCATGACTCTTCCCTCGCAACGCTACGGGATCTGAAAGTTCTAGGTCCGGGAGCTGTTCATAGCCAGTGTCATGGCCGCGCTTGGCGGGTTTGTGACTTGGCTTAGATCAGTCTAGTGGCTACCCAGGTAGACGACCAATATAGTCGCCATCCAAGTTGCTAGCTCACATAGAACGACAGGTTTCTAATTCCACTTGAACAGTGTTTATTTGAACCATTGCAGTACTAGATCGAAAGATCAAGTGTGTAGAGTCAAAAGACCAAAGCAGGAGAGAGTCGGAGTGACTCTCTCAGAATCGAGAGGAGTAGTGAGCTCCCCGAGAATCGAGGATGAATGTTAGCAAAACAGCTCCTTATATATGCTACATTATGTGATCAAAAGTATACAGTGGCAAGAATGCGTAAGGATTATTTCTATATTACAAACAGTGGTGCAATATGTGCAATCAGCCAAACTAGAATATAGTACAAAGAATGATCAATCAATACGGGGAGCTCGCTCACCCACATTACATCAAAGGACTCCGAGGCTCTTCGTGCGACGGGGCCTGGAGTATGCTGTCAGAAGTTGCTGCAGCTAGAGCACGCCGCCTCCGTACGCTGCCTTGGTCTTTGTTTACCCTTCATCTCCTGCCCGTAGGCTCTTCCCTCTCATTACCCCGTAGGGTGCTTCACGGTCAAGCCGTGACCTCTCCCAAAAAGGGATAACGGAGTCCGCAGTGCGCGAAGCACTTGCAGGACCCTTTACGTCGTACGACGCGAGAAGAGGGGCCTTGCTTGCTCGACTAACAAAGGTATCAGCTCCCTTGCAGGACTAAGCAGGGTCCCCTCAAGCTCAACAGTGTAGTGAGTACAATGCTGACGACTTGTACTGAAGGTGTAGCCGCCGTACGACAACACTTGTGACTCGAGGCCACGAGTTGTAAGCCATGATTGCTCAACTAACGAAAGTGCCAAATCCTTCGCGGGACTAATCATGGTTCTTACAGAACTCTAGAATATTTCGGAGCCCAGCTTTTGGCTGCTGAATCTCATTGCGTGGTCGCTTTCACGACGAGTCTGATCCGGGTCATGACACCAGCAATCGCATGTCACCACGTACATTCAAAATCAACATAATTTTGCGAATCGACCTTTTTTTCAGGATCACTTTTCAACGAGGACGAAGCAAAGTCGGCCGAACGAAGCCTAGAGGAAGAAAATCACCCTCTCCACTTCACCATCACGATACTGACATAGATACGAGATGAAACAACTAAAAAATCCACAAGAAAACTGTACGGCCATCATCGCGCTGACTTTGGTCTGACTCTGGTCTGAGAATTTCTATCACGATCAAATATGTACGAGGAGCACTCAAAAATAAGCCACAGACGTACCCGTCAGGCGAAATTACTGGTCAGTCGGCGACACGCATTTTTCACAAAAATTTGCGTTTCACCTGCTGGGAGAGTATGCGTGTACTCGAGTCTCATACTGAGCACGTTTTTTTCTTCTTTTTTTCAGCTCCAGTATAGCTGTATTTTTCATTGCAAAGCCGTCCTCGATTGTTGTGTTCGTTGTTCAAACGAAGTGGACATTCAATCATGAAGGCAGAGGACATAGGAGCCTGATTGGAGTTTCTCGTGGCATAGGACGGCCACACAGAGACACTTTGGGATTTTTTGAATATAAAATACCGTACGCACGATGCTGAGATCAATTTGTGCGATATCAAATTGTTTGTGATCTACCACATCGAGCAGAACGGGATCCAAACACAAGCTTACTGACGGATAGGCTGCCGACCTGACTGGACAAATGATCCCTGGCTTCACCAGACGCCAGAAGTCGGACACCATGTCCTTTGCCGCGACGTCCATCTCCAAAAAGAACTCCATCTTCGTCGTGAAAAGGCTTGAAATACTCAATATTCAACGGAGATTCGCGGTCTCACCCTTTCTCAGAACGAATCATTTTTTGTTGTAGCAGTTGCAGGGCAGATCCCCGCCACTACTTCAACAGAAGATGGCTCCAAAGCATGCCTGGAACAAGCCATATCGAGGTTGCAAGCCACCCCTCTCAGCACTTTTTTTGAAGAAATTCGAAATTTCAATGGTGGAAGATATACTATGAAGAGAATTTCAAAAAGTATGTTTCGCGGAGCGATCGCTCAACCTACGTCATTCAAACTTTGCAGGATGGTTCAGACGTACATGCTAGGCATGGAACCACAGAAGATGATATCATAGCTGACACACAGAGTCACACACACAGCAGATTCGTGTGCACAGATACTAAATTAGTGGACGTCGTCATCTTCTTCCCGCTGATCTCAAATGTACTATGACGTGCTATTTCGCCTGACGTTTATCGCTCTCTACTCCTTTTTCAAGGCACAAACGTCGACTCTCCACTTTCAAACCAGGAACCAGACATACCAGTGGTCCTTTTTGCTCCATGAGCCCTGGAAAGGTTCACCAAGGGGCGCAGAGCAGCATCCATTCCAGAAAAAGAGCTAAAATACGAGTGAGACTGCATGCCCGAGTACATGAGTACATGTATGAGTACATGCAGAAAATAGTCAATTTCAGCATTTCTGCTCCAAACAGCAACTAGCTTCGACTAGAAACAAAGATTACAACAAAGGATCAAACAACAACCATTTTCTGCAGTTTTTTTGCAGATGGCTTCCTTGTGCTTGGCCCAGCACAACAAAAATCACACCTTGGAGGAGTACAAAAATTACAACTCTCAGATGTCCTCGATTGCTGGCCATGCGCTGTTTTGTCACTTGTCATGGTTGTGCACTCATCGCTGTAGCATAAAATAATGAGGCGGGCCGAGAGCGGAAAACTAAAATTTTCTTTCTCAAAGCACAACCACCGGCACCGACAAGGAGAAACGCACGTTCTCTGACTACATGACTGCAGACAATACGACTGATACGAGTGTAGTACATGACAAGTCCGTGTGCTGACTAGTTTTCTGAGTCCGTGTGTTGACTAGTTTTCCAAGTCTTGTAGTAGTTCCGTTTGTGATGAGTTTGTTGACTACACTACAGCTAGCATGCACGCAGCGCATTGCTAGTATAAAGCCGTGGACTAGTACAGTGGTCCCTCTATAATCCGGCACCATTTCTGCCACGAAAATCTGCTGGATTAGGGAGGGTGCTGGATTAACAAATCTGATTTACTGCTGCAATGTGCATGAAGAGGACATTTTGGCTACTGAAAATTGTGCTGGTTTATCGAGGGTGCTGGATTATAAAGTGCCGGATTAGAGAGGGACGACTGTACTACTAGTAGTAGTACAGTAGTAGAGGCCAGTGCATGCCGACGGAAAAAGTCCAACTCGGAAACGGCTAAAATACGGCATAACCTTGAGGTTTACCGAGCTGAAAATCACAGGATACGTAGTGTTTGTAACACTGAATCGAATCGCTTTGGTCCGATGAAGCTGCGACAAACGGTTCCCTATCGAACGCGCTCCGAATATGGCCATTTTGTACGCAACTAGATAGTGTGGCTACCTGGCTGCACACTGTGACGTCATCACCTGGATCTGGGTGATGCGCGCTCAAATTCGCACATGTTCCATTGGGCGTATCTGACGAGCCATAGGCCGCGGCTTCCTTGGACAAAGACCATTCGACTCAGCGCCCCGAACTCTACAAACTGTGAAATTTATATTTTTCACCGGACTTGCCCTTTAAGAACTACATGTAGTGACTATAAACCAGCTTATTGTTTCAAGATACAATGCGCTTACTTGCACTGGGAGTGGTAGTGGAGACAGCTGCCGTAATGTTGGCCTTTACTTGTGTCACATCTTCAAAATATGCCATGGTAATATTGTATGTCGAGTTTTCCTCCTGCGAAGTGAATGGAATGGTGACATCACCCGACGTGTTCGTAACACATGAAGTGATGTTATGTATTACCGAACTTGTTGAGACACCAGAAATGGTAGTCCTCTCCAATTCCCAGCAATATTTTGCAGGGGTAAACATTGTGGCATTCAGAACGAGTCTGACGTTGAAACTAGTTGCATTAACACTTTCAAATGTAGCTATTGCCGTTGCAGCTACACGAGAAGTAAATATAAGAAACATGCAACATAACAAACATCAAACAGGATTATGCTATTATGTCCACAAATATCAAAAAAGTATTCTTTCTAGACCAACCAACTCAATGTCCACTAACACCACAAATTGCTTGACAATCAGCTCATGCGATAAAATGGGTTGTGTCAACAAAAATGATTAGGCTGGCGGCGGGGACACCCTAATGCTGCACTCGGCTCAGCACTATCCAAAACATTTCGTTATCGCACATCACGATACAGAACCCTGAGTAATGCATACAGGGAAGTCATGTGCGGAGCTTGCAAATGGAAATAGAAAGAAGTAGGCTTGCAACGAATATTCTATAAGGTTAAAACGAACGAATACTTTCCTTATCGGACAAATATCGAATATCATCGGCATAAAGTTGATTCAATGCATTTTGGAAGCACTGTGGTGCATCACGGGTGTAAATGCAAAATAGCAATAGGCCGAGCACGGAGCCTTGTGGGACGCCTCTTGTGCAAGGGCGGGTCCCACCTAGCTGTTGCCCTACTCTTACTCGCTGGACGCGTCTGGTCAGGTAGCTTGCAAACCAAGCAAGTGCAGTGTCAGCAATGCCAAGCATCTTCAACTCGTCAATGAGCTCTTGATGCTTAACTCGGTCAAAAGCTTTGCTCATATCTGCAAACACTATGCCGCAGCACTCGTTGTTATCAAGGGCTTTGAGCCATTCGTCGACCACTAGCGCTAGGCAGTCCTCACACGAGCTGTTGGTACGGTAGGCAAAGTGATTGTCGGGCACGTACATGATGTTGTGTAACTTAAAGAATGCAATCAGCTGCTCCAAGACAACTCGTTCTAATATCTTGCTGCATATGGGCAATAATGAGACTGGTCTGTAATTAGTAGAGCTTTCTGCATCGCCTGATTTGAAAACTGGGCTGACTGTGGCATTCTTGAAAATATCTGGTACGCACTCTGTGCTCAGAGATTTATTGATAATATCAGTGAGAGAAACTGCTATGGAATCACGACCATGCTTCAGCACGGCTGGTAAGACATTGTCAGAGCCAGGTGACTTACTTGTGTTTGTTGCTTTGAGCAGTGTGGTGATGTGCGCCACAGTTACGGGTCAAAAATGGGACAGTCGAGCAATAGTAGTTGGCTGTTGGGTGGCTGGGCGTAAACATAATTATGTCAGCAGGCTGGCTTGGATCGTGCACTACGTTAGCAAATGTCTCTGTCAAACTACTGAGAGATGCAATTGGCTGATTTCTTACTTTCCGCCTGCCAGACAGACTGTTAAGAAGAGCCCACTGACCTCTAGGATTTTGTCGGAGTGCCGAGAACTGGTGCATCAGGAAATGGGATTTCAGTCTCCTACTCAGAAGCAACCCCTCGCGTCTGACAGAACAATACTGTTGCCTAAGAACCATATTCCCAGGCTGCGAAAGGACTCTACGATGCAGAGTAGTTCTGCGCTGCAGCAGCTTCCGTAACTCTGGTGTTGCCCACGGTTGAGGCTTAGGTTTGGGACAGAGGGGTAGTCTAACTTGTTTAGATGGAGCATGCGTATCAGTAACAGCAACGATAGACGTTAAAAGATGGCAAGTTTGACTGTCCAATGTTGAAAATGAGGATGAGTCCTCGAGCATCATTCAGTAAACTCAGAGTAGTTGTTAGTAACTATTCCTGGTTTTCTCACAACCTTAGTTCTCTGGGTTGCTGGGGGCTTCCATTCCGGTATTACAATATCAAGGCGGACTAGGGGGTGATCAGTAAGATCTGACATGGGAATGATCTTTGGATTGGGCAATGGAAAGGTAGTGGGTTAGGGTAGCTTGATACTAAGTCACAAACTGGTCTTCTGAGCATCCTTCTACGCAGGTCATGAGTGGATATAATTATTATGGCTTCCACCCCTCATGGACAACTTTTTTTCCATGGCGTTTTCGACTGAAATAGCCCATTTCCGGAAGACAGGGCGGGTTTTACAGCAGGAAATTGCCCAAATACCCCTCATAATCATTTTTGTTTTCCTGCTCAGTGAATATACTCGATCGCGTTTGGTGCTCGCGGGCAAAAAAGAGATTTCGCAGTGTCCGGTTGTTCATGGATGGGGGGACCATCATCACTCAGCTTGTTCAGGAGACGACGAGTATCGCTGGCACCCACGCCACAGTTTAGACACTTGCATCAAATCAAAATTTCCAAAAATATTCTGCATCTGCGTATACAAGCGACCGCGTTGAGTTCTGATTTTGCGTTTTCTTTGTACATTGATACCCTGTTCTCTCAATGCCATCATGTTCCTTAGGGTCTCAAGGCACTGTCACAGACGACGAAGGGTAAGCGAATTATATTATTCTTTAAGCCGTAAGATCTAAATGGGAACTCACCCATTACTGGCAATGCATGCATTGAATTGGTTGAATTCCCAAATTAACTTGCAAGCAAATCCATACCTGCTACAACTCGAAAAATGAACCCACGAGGAATTCCCGTGGCCCACAAACGGCCCAAGGCATGATATCAGTGATAGCTGAAGAGATCCACGAGCAAGAAACTACCCGCGCGCCGTCAGTGATATTACCTTCCGTGAAAAACTCGCGAGCTATGATTTCGCTTAGACTGTGGGGTCCTTTCGTGCTCAGAGCTGGGCAAGGATGTAGCCACCCTTTGCACTCAAACGGATAATAGCTATGTAAATACTTCATTCAAGCCCCACTGGAGGCAAGTTTCAACTAACTCGGCTTTCAGAAAAGCGAAACTCGTACAAACAAACTGGCCCAATATCCGGATTTATTGGCATTTTTATTTAAAGGGGAACTGTCACCAAAAATATTCTTTGTCTTATCTTGTATTTCTTTGGCTCCTGATCACGATGGTGTTATTCGTTTTTTCTGCGATGACTGGAAGTGGGTGAAAACTTGAAAAGAAGGTGCCCAAAATTGTCCCGAAGTACCGAGTGACTGAGGTCAAGTCCGAGCTGGACTTGACCTCCACGCGTACATTCGTCGTCAAAAACGAAGTCCACCCCGTGTGCTGGTCGATCGTGCCAACTGTTCGATGTACGGTGCACGTGTGCCTTCTGAGTTCAGACACTGATGTGTACATTGTACACAATGAGAACGCCAAAAGGGACTAAACCAACAAAAGTCGACAGCATAATAGTCGCACTGGTAGTTCCTCCGCGAAGCTACAGCTCTTTGTTTTGTTTGTGATTACAAAGGAGTGGAAGGATGTTTGTTTGCTGTTAGTGTGACACACATCCCTTGTACTTGAAACAGATTTCGTTGTATTGAAGGTGGCAGAGTTGCCCACGCGGCTCTGAAATGAAAGACATCGGAGCCGCGGAGTGGCCCACGCGACTCTGAAATGAAAGACGTCGGAGCTTGGGTTGGTGGTATTATCGCCGGCCGGAGGTGTACTGTTTTCTGCAAACACACTCATCATCGTGTTGTTCCTCACACAAAAAGTTCAAAAACAACGACATAATTTCATGCTCACACAAATTTAAACTAAGATCCTTGCGGAAGAAGTCAAAAAGGTGAAAGCTCTGCTGCTTTTTTACTTTGATTTGGCTATGTAGCTACGAGGGTCTCTGCCTCTTTGGCATTCTCCTTCTATCCGACGAACCCATGATCTGTGTCCGAGTTAAGAAGGCACCGTATGCCGTACATCCGAACAGTTAGCTCGATCGACCAGCACACGGGCTTGACTTCGTTTTTGACAACGAATGTATGCGTGGAGGTCAAGTCCGGCGTGACCTCACTCGGTACTTCGGGACAATTTTGGGCACCTTCTTTTCAAGTTTTCACCCACTTCCAGTCATCGCAAGGAAAAATGAAGTACACCATCATGATCAGTAGCCAAAAGACTACAGGACAAGGCAAAGAAATTGTTTGGTGACAGTTCCCCTTTAATTATTTTTATGATCGATTTTATCACTGGTATGGAAACGGAGCGTCTGGAGAGCGATATATACGAGAGAGCTTGGAAACTCAGGGCCCTACACTATGCTTTTAGTCGAGCGAAAGCGACGCAAACTGAACTCTCTGCTCATTCTGCCAATAGTTTCTCTTGTAAGGGGCCGTCCGTAAATATCGAACTTTTTTCACCAAACGAATTATTTTAGTTTAGACCCAACCCCTCCCTCCCTCCCCCTCAGAACGTAAAAATTGTTGACATATACAATGCATATACAACAAAACCCGCAAGTGTGTAACTGCTCCTATGGCCATGTACATGTATCGAACTTTTCTGAAACGAAATTGATCAACCCCCTTCCACCCCATAACGAAATTATTTCGTTTCGTGAAAAAAGTTCGATAATTATGGACGACCCCTAAAGACGCTGTACATGAGCTGAACTACCTTCGCCCAGTGGTTTGCAGTCGGTACAAACTCTTCTTGGCCTGTTCTTAGCGTTTTCATATCCATCAAAAATTCAAAATCCATCACAACGTTTTTGTTAACGGAGGAAGTTTTTGTGGACCCTGGCTAGCTAGCGCCAGACGATACTGCACTATCGCCCTGCATGTATTCCCCCGATACACTTCGCATACATATTATGCCAGGCCTCTACAGTCTCTCATTTCTTGGTGCTGTCCACTTTAATGCTATACATACTGCTACTATACATATTCATTCTCTTGATGGTACGGTACGGGACAGATACGGGATAGTGTCAGGCGTGGCACAAACAAACAAACACGAAATTAAAGCTGTGTGGACCCTGGCTAGCGCCAGACGTTATTGAAGTAACATCTTCTGCATAGCTACGGGAATTAAAATACAACTATACGTGGTCCTCTTCAGGCACAATCTTTCTCTGCCTACTCAAGCTCAACTGATGAGGGGTGAATTCCCCGGAACACTGTGGATCGAGCAGGGAGTGGTGCTTTCTCGCAAGTTTGCTGAGTCAAAGGCTCGATGGACTTCTCGTGTGCTCTGGATGGCAGTCGTGAGTCAGTCAATTGTCAAGTCAAGTCGGCGGAAGAGCGCCGTTTCCAATGTGGGGAGCAAGCCCCTTCCTATCGATTTCATCAGCCGTAAATATCCGCCACCAGAGTGTGCAAGTCCCGCATACCCTGCTGTACGGACACATAGCCAGCAAACCCATGTCATCACGTACATTGAAAATGAACATAATTTTGCGAATCGACCTTTTTTCGTCATCACTTTTCAACGAGGACAAAGCAAAGTCGGCCAAACGAAGCCTAGAGGAAGAGAAAAGGTTTAGTTATCACCCTCCCCCTGTAACAAAACCTAAACGAAAATATATTGACTTGACAACTAGAATGGATTGATATCTCGGCTATCAATGTCTTTCAAAAGGAAACTCTCCAGGACCCACCCACCAATAAGCGAAACGTTTTCGTTTCGTGTAAGAGATCGACGATTATGGACGGATCCTTACTTCTCATTGCCCAGACAAAAACAATGTGATCTTCATGAAAAGTATACAGGTCATAAACCGGGAAAGGGTCCAACCTCAAATAGAATAGCGTCCCTTAAACTAACTCAAAGTACACATCAACATAAACTTGGCGTACTGGGCATTGGTGCCGTAGTAGTATTATCACCCATTGTTCCAGTGGTTGGCATTACGGACGGTGGTTCCTTAGTAGTAACAGCTTCCATTGTTCCAGTGCAGGTCCCCCAGAGAATGCTCAAGAACAAGAGGAGCAGCGAACACTTTGTTGCGCCTGCTGCCATGGTGTAAACAGGTTGAAGCTGCACAAAAACACAAACACATGCCCACGCACACAAACACATGCCCACGCACACAAACACATGCCCACGCACACAAACACACGCCCACGCACAAAAACACATGCCCACGCACACAAACACATGCTCACGCACACAAACACATGCCCACGCACACAAACACATGCCCACGCACACAAACACATGCCCACGCACACAAACACATGCCCACGCACACAAACACATGCCCACCCACAAGGCGTAAACATTCAAATACACGTACAGTAGGTATCGGTTATAGCGTGGGTGTTTGAGAAACGACTTTCTATTCTTATATCCGATATTTCTTACACACGATCCATCAAGTGTGCCATATCATATGCATGTGTGCAGGGACAGGAAGATCATCGTACGTGCAACGTAGTGCTACTGTGCATGTGGCTGGTCATAGTCCCATTGGCCATAGGCTTACCATGTGGCTATCCAACATGAGTTACATGACCACAACAGTTGAACCTGCAGCACTACGACGCAACGCGAGTCAGATCAGAACTGCATGGGACAGATGTTATTACTACAGGTGATACACCTTGTACTAATCTCAGTGGCGTAGCCAGGGGGGGGGGGGGGTGCTTTGGGTGCCCAAGCACCCCCCTCAAAAATTTCAGGTACCATTTTCGTACTGCTGTGGATCTACGCCCGCCCGCGATCGAGACTCGACGTCAACAAGATCGACGCCACACGACGCTGCGCTGCACGACGGGGCCCGGCCAACTGTATTACTGGGCGTGTTGGCGTACATATCCACGTGTCATTATCGTGTACCACGTGGGCTGTCCCTGCCGCGCCGCATGCAGGTTGCACTTGAGACTGCATGCATGGCTGCACATGCAGTCATGTTCTCGCCGGTGACAGGCGCAGTAGTGCTAAATTATTAATTTTTAGTACAATGTAGTACTACCAGTACTGTAATTTGAACTAGTACTACCGTGGTAGTATAGTTGTGTGTAGATCTTTGCCTTTGAATGTGAGTTTGGTCGTTTTCGGATGCACTGCGCATTGTACAACTACCGGTATATAGACTCGCACTTTGTGTAGCTAGACTTGGTAGAAGTGAAAGAGAAGTGTCAACGTCGTTTTGTGATCCGCAAGTCGAATGGATTCTTATGAAAATGTCGATCTTGAAGTATTTCAGTCGAGGGAAGTCGAAGAGACCAGATACCAGTAGCAGCAGTGCCAGTGCCATTTCCGAATCTGACGAATCTAATTGCGAAATTGTCGAAGTCGAAGGCTCGGAAGAGCCGCAGTTGTCGCCCTTGGCTGTACCAGTCGCAGTCGTCCGAAATGACATCGGTACCTTCATGGAGGACATTGCGAAGGGTGCACCGCTCGACGACGACGTGATGTTTGCCCTGCTAAAGGACCATGTCCAACCGGATTGTTCGTTTGTTTTCCCGAAGAATGGTGGCCGGTCTTTTCAGCCCCGCTGGCTCGATGTATACAAGCCATGGCTGGTGTTTAGCCCTTCGCTTTCCAGCGGAGTCTGCATTCCATGCTGTCTATTTGCAAATGCATTCCGAGGATCGTCGCTCGGTGTTTTGGCAAGACGTCCCTTGACGAACTTTCGGAAAGCACTGGCGCTCCTGGATGAGCATATGGGGAAAGCCTACCACCAGGACGCTGTGGTAAGAGCTGACGGCTTCCTCAGTGTCATGGAGGGGAAAACGAAGGACATAGCACAGCTGACCAATGATGGACTCGCGGCTAGGGTAGCTGCGAATCGCGCCAAGTTGGAGGCGATAATCAAAATCCTGATCTTGTGCGGCAGACAAAATATTCCTCTGCGAGGTCACAGAGACGCCAGCACAAACAAGGAGGCCGCGGATTCCGCAAACTGTGGAAATTTCTGGGCTTTGATGGACTTCAGAGTGGAGGCTGGTGACAAGATCCTAGCTGGTCATATTGCTTCTGCCCCAGCCAATGCAACGTACACGTCAGGAGATATCCAGAACCAACTGATCGACATCATTGGTGACCAGATTGCCCAGAGGATTGTTGATCGGGTCAAGGATGCTGGATGGTTCACGGTCATCGCTGATGAGGTGACAGATGTGGCAAACAAGGAGCAACTCAGGTTGGTGTTACGGTACGTGGACCTATCGACAAAGGTGGTTCGAGAGGATTTTGTCGTGTTCGTTGAGTGTGCAGCAGGAGTTACCGGAGAGGCCCTCGCTAAGCTGATCACGGATACCATCACCAGTCTTGGCCTTGACCTTGGCAAGCTCCGTGGACAGAGCTATGACGGAGCAGGCAACATGGCAGGAGCCAGGAAAGGTGCCGCTGCCCGTATCACAGAGAAGTACCCCCGAGCTTTGTACCTGAACTGTGCCTCGCACTGCCTGAACTTGGTGGTCGTCTCATCTCTGCAAGATCGTTTGGTGCAGAATATGATGGGCGTCGTCACCCGAGTAGCAGTTTTCTTCGACTCCCATCCGAAACGCCAGAAAGCGCTCGAGGCCGCTTTGAATGATGCAGACGAGGAACCTGATACATCCAAGGTAAAGGATCTCTGCAGGACACGGTGGGTGCAGCGACTTGATGCACTGGAATCCTTCTTGGCCCTTCACCCCATGCTTGTGGTCTGCTTCAATGCAATCCTGGATGAAGGTCCCCAGGCGTGGTCAAGAGATTCCATTACGGATGCGAATGGTTTGCTGACGGCTATCACCAACACCGACTTTATCGCAGCCTTAGTTATTGTCAACAAGTGCCTTCATTACGTGCGTGGCATCACCTCCAGTCTCCAAGCAGAAGCCAAGGACTTGATTGCAGCAATGCACGATGTGAGTTCCGTCACAACCACACTGGCAGAAGTCCGAAGAAATGTGGACAAGTACCATGGTGAGTGGTTTAAAGTGGTGAAGTCCATATGTGAGGCAGTGCACGTTACGCCATCACTTCCTAGGCTGTGTGGTCACCAGACCCAACGGAACAACGTTCAGGCCGATACGCCCGTCCAGTACTACCGACGTGCCCTGACAGTGCCCATTCTGGACCACATGGTGTCGGAGATAGAGGCCAGGTTCACGCCGCTCGACTCGACCGCACTCCAGGGCTTCTGTGCCATCCCAGCACTGCTGCTAAAGATGTCCATGGACGCTGCGAAGTCCCAAGTACAGGAGCTGGTGAAGCTGTATGACGACGACTTTGTGTCTGGCCGTAGTATGGAGGCTGAGCTCCACTGCTGGCGCGTGAAGTGGGTGAAGGCAAAGGCAGAGCACGGTGAAGCTAGCTTGCCGACCTCGGTATCAGCAGCGCTACCCCACGCTTCCCAGATGTTCCCGAACATCCGCTGCCTTCTGCAACTTCTTGCAACCTTGCCAGTGACGTCTTGCTCGTCCGAACGGTCCTTCAGCGCCCTGAAACTGGTCAAGGACCGGCAGAGATCAGTGATGAAGAACTCCCGGCTGACTGGCCTCACCTTGCTGCAGGTTCATCATGACATTCCAGTTGACGTGGGTGCGGTCATCGATGAGTTTGCTCGCCGCCATCCACGACGAATGCAGCTGGTGAATGTATTGCACAGTGAATGATGCAGCATACTGTGGTACATCTCACTCTGGCACATGTGGACTGTAAATACAAATCTCATGAGGCGGATTGAACATGAGCACTCGTCGGCAGACATACGTAACCTCTAATACCTGTATAATAAGATTTCCCCTGTATAATAAAATTTTCCTATCCTGGCTGGTATAATGTTATGTTATGTTACCTTTATTTTACTTCACCATAGGTACAGGCATTGCTGCCTTCTTGCTGTGGATCATAAATGATGCCACAGCTCCTAGGCTATGATGAAAAATATAATAGTATGATAGATTAATATGATAAGATGTCATGACCGTCAGCAGGACAATTATAAAAATACCATGCAGCAGTGTATTTTATGTGTGTTGTGGTTGTACATGTAGATAATATTGATGATGGACAGGGGACAGAACGTACTCGTGTGTCAATAGCTAATGGAGTGAAGTGAGATCAAGATCTGAAAGAGATTTTTTGAAATGAACAAGGTTTGTTAGAGAGCGGGTAGCATCAGGTAGAGAGTTCCATGTGGTGCTGCCCAGAAATTGGATAGAACATCTCCCAGCAGGATTGGGTAGGAATGGGATGCGAAGTAAATTATGCAGCTGCCCACGGGTGACTATACGATCAGCAAGTGGTATCTGAGGCTGGGCAAGTAATACAAAATAATCTTGAAAGAGAGAGCTTGCAGATCCGTGTATAGACCGGAAAACAAATACAAGCAGCTTCTGTAAAAGGACTTGGTGAAGTGATGGTATGGATAACTTAGCAAGCAAGGGAGCTGTTGCACTGCGGCGGGGAGCCTGAAACACAGCACGAATACCAGACTTATGCAGTTTTACAAGGCAATTTAGCAGAGACCGTGAAAGCGCAGGAAAGAAGCAATTAGAGGCGTAACAGAGATGAGATAGTATCATAGACATATACCACATTCGACGTGCTTTCAGTGACAAGGCCCGGCCATGCCTCCAAAGCTGTCCAGTGGTCGCCGCCAATTTTTTCGCCAGAAACTCGATGTGGGGTGCCCAAGTTAGCTGGTCATCAATCAACACACCGAGGTATTTTGCCACGTGTGTGACTTGCAGAACACTGTTGTTGCAGGTGACGATGTGCAGCAGTGTCCTGGCATAGAGTTGATGCGTTCCACAGACAACAACTGCGGAAAGTTATTGGCATACGGTACCCAGCTAAGATCAAGAATAACACCCTGTACAAGAGGACAAACTCAACACCACTTGGTATCTCGATCCTGGGAGCCCGCTGGCGTCTGTTTGGGCACGTGCTGCGGCTGGACCAGAGTGCACCGGCGAACCTGTCAATGTGCTCCTACTTCAAGCCATCCACTGAGCCTACCTGGAGGGGCAGGCCGCGCACAACTCTGCCGGTCGTGCTCAGACACGATCTTGAGCTGGTTGGGAGGACCCTCAAGACCTCGG